ATATAGTTCAGGCTGGCCTTGAACTCACTGGCTTTGAATTTATAACAATCCTCTTGTCTCGGTCTCCTGAGTTCTGGGATTACAGGCATGTACCACCATGCCCGGGTGCATATTGTATTTAATTTTATTTATTTTCATTTATTTATTTATTTTTTGGGGGGGAACAGGGTCTTGCTGTATAGTTCAGGCTGGCCTTGAACTCACTGTGTAGCACAGGCTGGCCTCAAACTTATGACCCCTTGCCTCAGCCTTCCTAATGCTAGGATTATAACCCTGTGCTACCACACCCAGCTCATATTGTAGTTTTAAAAACTATGTCCTTCTAGGTAAACTATTGTGTGTGACCAACTTTATATTGACATACTAATTAATAACTTAGTGTTGGGTGTAATTTATTTAAATTTTTTACAATTTGTATTACTTTTGTAGTACATAATGATTGCATTCATCATGTTATGTACATGTATGTAACACATCTTAATTCTTTTTATTTCCCCTTCCCTTCCCATTTCTCCTTCCTTCTTTCTGTTTTTTTGTGGTTAGAATTTATTTTAAAGTTCATCTAATATCGGAAGTATAATTTTATTGTGTATATTTATAGTTAGTGAATTAGAGTGATGTATGGATATGCAGAATAATATACAGAATTTATAAAACTCTCTTTCCTTAGAGTTAATGTCATGAAGCAAGTATTTATATTAATATCTTTAATTAGATATAAAGTCAAAATATGATGAAGAAAGGAGTCTTCGGGAAGCTGCTGAACAAAAAGTGACACATCTGACAGATGAATTAAACAAAGGAGCAACTGTAATTCAAGATCTGAAGACTGAACTGGTAATTTAGGAACCATGTACTAGAATTACTTTTATGCTATAAATTAAGAGGAAATACATACTCTGAATAAATTTTTAAAAATAGAGTTAATAGGAGGAAATAAAAAATTTCCTATACAATGTCACCTACACATACATATGTGTGATCTTTATAAAAATGGGCTGTTATGATATATAACTTACTACTTTAATAGTTTTGTTGTTTCTGTCTAAATATGTCCTTCTTAGTATTTTCCATATATTCCTCTGTGATCCTGACCTTCCTTTGTACTTTAGTTTTTTTTTTTTGGTACCGGGGATCGAGTACTTTAGTTTTATAAATCCACTTCCAGTTGAATTTCTATCTTTTGTTTGAAATTCAACAGTAAAACTGTCATCATTATTGCTTCCATGACTATATCTCTCTCACTGATACCACACTCTCTCCAGGCTTACAAACCTCTCATTTATCCTTGACTTTCCTTTATTTATCATTCAGTAAATATATGAATAAACAAATCAAGCATATGCAACCTGCCATAAATCCTAATGCTTCATCTGTCCCTGCCATCCCCCCTTCCATTTAATTTTTCTCTGTAATGTTTAATTAAAATGTGTGACTTCACAGCTTCAAAGGCCTGGTATAGAAGATGTTGCTGTGCTAAAGAAAGAACTGGTCCAAGTTCAAACACTAATGGATAATATGACCTTGGAGCGTGAGAGAGAATCTGAAAAACTCAAAGATGAGTGCAAAAAGTTACACGCTGAACATGCTAACTCAGAGGTAATGAACTGTGACTGATAGTACTATATTATTAGGTAAAGCCAAGATTTGAAAATTACCTTAGTGGCTTTTTTATTGATTGTACATGTTTACAATACATGAACACATTTGTTGTAGGGAGTTGGTACATGTACCCATTGCATCTTAATCCTTTTTACTTCCCTCCTCTCCTCCCTTTGCCTTTGCTTTATTTGATCTGAGTAATTGTCTGTGGTCACTGTGGTCTGATAGTCAATATTGTTTACTTTTGCCTTAAAAAACTAGATAGTTGGATTGTTTGCATAATAGATTATTTGTTTAATACATGATATATACATGGGGAGATGATTTTTATTTTATATTTTTTTGAGACAGGGTCTTGTACAGTTTAGGCTGGCCTTGAACTTCTGGCAATTGGCATGGAAAGATATTTAAAGTTAAATTTACTTAAGGCTAGTTAATAAATGATAACTGAGTTTATCTCAATTAGGAGTAAAGGAATAATGGTATTATTTTCTGCAATTAGGTTACTAGTGTTTGGGAAAATATTAATAAAACATTTATTTTCTAATAAGCTTATTTTTCATTGATAGACATTAAATTATGTAGTTCAGAGAAGTATTAAAATGATCTAGTTTAGCCCTCCATCTGAGACTCCCCTTTGTAGCAACCCTGATGTGATCCACAATTCTTGCTAGATGGTATATGTTACACATATTTCTTCCTAAGCCAATTATTCCGTTGAATTAACTTGTGTTTCCCTGTAAATCACATACCTTCTAGCTTTTTCTCAACAAATAAATAGAATAGATTATTAGTCTTTCCACCTGAGATGTTTGATTACTATTCATTGTTTTCCTAAAAGAACAGACATTATCAGTTCTATTATTTGTTACATGACATTACTTTGGCTTGTAAATCCCTTATATAATTATATCAATGTATGACAAGGTTTAAGATGTATAATAAATGTATTGCTTAAAATGCTAGCTTTTGTCTTTTCTTATTGTATTATAGAATATATTTTGTTATGGCTACTATTATTTGCAGTCCTTTACTCCCTTATGTAAGTAGATCTCTGTTTTTCATATTTTCAGTTTGAAAAGTTGTTTTGGATACTATGCAGTTTGCTTTTTTGATGTGAAGATTTTTAGCTGGTGATATAAAAATCTACTCTGGTCATAACAAATGAGCAAATTATGAGTCTAAATACTATACTTTTTTTTTTTTTTTTTTGGGGTACTGGGGATTGAAATCAGGCTTTTTTATTTAGCGACCTTTGCAG